AAAAAAAAAACAAATAAAAACGTGTGTGTCCACTTTAATGATTCATTTGGATTAATGGTACGTTCCAGGACATCTCCGTCTGGCAGACTTTGGTTTGTCCCGTCGCTTGGAGCGAGGAGGGCGGGCTTTCACCATCTGCGGTACCATTCAATACATGGGTGAGGAACATTCCGGCACGTTGTTTAATTCCATGAATGATGAATTTAAGGGCATTGTTGTGAGCGCGCTCTGTCCGCACCGCAGCCCCCGAGGTGCTTAGCGGCGGTCCCTACAATCACGCGGCCGATTGGTGGTCGCTGGGAATCCTGCTCTTCTCGTTGGCTACCGGCAAGGTGATCAGAGAATGACTTTCCATTCTGGTCAGAGAATTATTCGGAATGGTGTTGATGCTTGATGTTCAGTACGAATTTCTCCTCAGTTCCCCCTGCCTCCAGAGCAGGACCACTGTGGCATGCTGAGGAGGGTGAGGTCTTTTCCCTACGAAATGCCCCTCAGCCTGAGCCCCCCTCTGGCCATGCTCATCACAGAGGTGAGTGCAATTGCTAAGCGGCGCCTCCCTCCTGGGCTATTGACACATTCATGCCGTTTCTCTGTGCAGCTGCTGTGCAAAATGCCCGCACGCCGACTTCGCACCCTGGATCGCTTCCAACGCCAGACCTTCTTCCGTGGACTCAGCTTTGACCAAAACCTGCTGCAGCGCCACCCTGTGGAGGTAACTGAACGCCAAACGGGGGACTCACACGCCTCATGGTCTATGAATTTTCCTGAATGGTTGCGTTGCAACACGGCGAGCCCTGCAACGGATAGCAAAATCTGCGAATAACGGCCCCTCTATCGCAGGTGATTCTGGAGCTGAGGGAGCGCCCCGACCGTGCCGCCAAAGCCCGCCGAGGCCTCGCGCTTTCACTGCAGCCGTTCAACGGCTTCGATTACGACTCAATACTTAGTCCGCCGAACACGCCTGACGCGCAGCTGCAGGGAGCCGCCCCGCGTCGGGAGGTGTTTGTTTGACTCTGAACGCCAACAATCATGACAGCTTGCAACAGTACGGTACAGACTTCCCAAGGCTTCTCTTGACAAAATGGCTGGTCCATACCTACAATGGCCGTATGTCCTCCATTGTTGTTTACTGTGTGGCCGTACGCTACACTCACTTTCAGGTTTACCCTTTCACAATGTTACATGCTGAACTGGACCGCTGACCCGATCTGCAGAAAGAATGTCAGGGACCCATGTCTGAAATTCAATGGGAAGTCAGGAGGACATATTTGAAGCAGCCATTTTGAAGCAAATTCCAGGCCTCCGACTTGGATGAACTCAGGCAATGTCATTTGCCCAAATGACTCCTGAATGAACCT